GCTGATCTCATTTTGGGCATTATATCTTCAAGAAAGTCTTCCTTTCCCTTGTCCACTGTTTTGCTCTTTTCTTATTGTGCTTTATTTTATTGTGCTCCACAGATACTGCATTTTTTTTTTACAAATTGAAAGTTTGTGGAAATAGCAAGAGAATTAGAATGAAAAGCAGAACCTGAAGATGTGACTGAATTGCTACAATCTCATGAGTTTACAATCTCAAACTTTAATGGATGAGGAGTTGTTTCCTATGAATGAGCAAAGACAGTGGTTTCCTGAGCTGGAACCTACTCCTGGTGAAGATGTTCCATGCATGACGCCACCCTCTGGATCAATTAATTGCTACTTTGCACATTTCATCAATCAGGCATTGGGCAGCCATCATTGTAATCCCTCCTACAGCTTCCGTGTAGTCAATTATCCCTTCTATGACTGCGCAGTCATAACCTAGCCCATATTCTATGGAGTCTGGATAATCGTCATCTCCTTCCTGGCTGACCTTCTGGAGATGGTACAGATAGCCATCAGTGTGGAAGATGGTCATCTCCTCCACAGAGGAGTCTACGGTAGACTTACCTATTCGCATTTGCTCGTGCAGCACATATGCACCAATCAAAGAATGTACCAGACTGGCCTACCTGGGGACTTTGGCCAGGGAGTCGCTCATGCTGACATACTTGGGACTGTAGATGTAAACCGTAGGTAGCGACTGCCCACTGTCCACCGGTTCCTCCGTCTTCCAATTCCGGTTGTTCTAGAGCCACTGTCTGGATCCAGCTTTTTGGACTCAACTTGGGCTCTGGTTCCTGTTCCTCTCCCTACTATTTCTATTATATACTTTTAATATCCCATACCTTTAATTGTGAAAGTTATCACAGATGCAATTTTACACTTATGCATGTGTTCAAAATAGCAGATTTCTTCTTTTTAGAGATCAACTATTTGTCTCCTGCCCCTGATGACCCACCTGAATGGTGACAGCCGATAATTGTCATTTATTGATGGGCTTCTGCTTCTGAGCTAGGCACTGGATGAGGGAAATTGAAGATTTTTAAGACTTGTTCCCTGCACTCAAGGAACTAACAGTTTGATTGGAAACACATGGCTAATAAATATATATTAATTAGTAAATTAGGGACAGAATGTTGTGCCATGGCAACTCAGTCAAAAAAGGTGGACATTTATAAACCAGCTAGAATCCTTAAAGAGTAAAACCCCATACCGGTACTAATTGTGTACAAAACAGAATAGGGTCCCAAGCATAAGCATCAGAAGCCTATTTCAAATGCTGTGGGTCTTCCAGACCCCACCATATCACATTACTAGAAGTGACAGGTTTCACTCCCAGTTGATAGATATATGCAACAGCCACAGACTTATCCCTAGCCCAGGAGTGATTCTGTGATTGCCAGGGGAACCACTGGGAAAAGCAAAATGATATTGCCAATATTCCGGGGATGATGGCCTAGAAAAATGTCAGTTTCATATGAATCAACCTAAAAGTTGAGACTTCTTAAATTTCTTACCTGAAAGCTCATCATCAGAACGAAGAATTTGAAAAGCTGTTAGCCACACTGTGTAGCAGGATTTAAAAAAAAAAACACAGACTTTATTAGTCTTGAAGACATTGATCGATGATGCTAAATGTGAGGCTGTTAAAAATAGTTTCAATGCACAATTTCCTAGATCAAGTTGTCTTTGTCCATATCAGTTCATTCCATTTGTTATTTAGAAAACCCTTCCTTCCACAGCCTCAGGCAACCTAGGGCATCTGAATCTGTGGGTATTTTAGGCTGAGGTTGACACTGGGCATTATAGGTTTCAGAACTCTAGGTGAACTCAGTTTCTTTCTTTCACTACTTAATGCTCAGAAGAAGAGTCTTGCCATGTGATCTGGTGTCTTTACAACCGTGAATATACTTGTGCCACAAGAGAAAGCTGCTTTCACGTTTCTTTTTTCTATTCCAGAACATAATTATAATTTAAAAGTCTGCAATTTGGCATCTAGATGACCTCTAAGGCATTCTTCAGTCTTCTGGTTTCATGATTAGACATCAAGAGGAAAAAAAAAAAAAACTAACTAACTAACTATTCTTGCTCTCGTGTGTGGGATATTTCTGTAACCAGATGCAAAAAAAACTGGTAACGATGCTTTTTGGAGAGGGAAACTCTCTACTGAGACTTTTGGTCTGAGCTTCTTTTTAATATCATGTATCATTGACTACCAATAATAAAAGTTACTTCAAAAACAAATGCAATTGATTTAAAATTTACGTAGACAAAGCATTTTACTCATAAAAGTACAAAGCCCTTCCCTCTAAAAATGTTTATATCTTGTTCTTTTTCTTCTTTATAATTTTATCATTATTTTGATTGTTTAAAAATAATCCTTAGGACCTATGGAGGCAGAACAAAGATAGAGAAGGTTTGGATGATGTAAATTGCTACATATTCTGCAAATATCTCTAACTACCTGTGATAGGTCTGGGGCTAGGTACTTCCTCCTTTCCATAACTTCTGGAAGGCTTCTTATGTTAGCTTTTTTTTTTTTTCCTTTGAGAGTTCTGCATGCTTAAAATGCTTCCCATAGACAAGTGGTGATTCGTTCTCCATGAATGCAGCAACCAAGGAGCTCACCTGCTGTGACAGTGATTCAGGGCACGAGGTAAGTCCTAGGTGTTTCACTGAGGCAAAAACTACATTGATGAGGGTAAGCGTCATTCTGAGTGACTGGCAGGAGAGTACTGAGGTATCTTAATTCACAAAATTGTTGAATTACCCAAAAGCTGATTCCACAGCTTTGTCAACAGAATCCTGCTCACACTAAAAGAGCTTGTTAAATCAAAGAAGCTTCCTACTTAAGACAACTTTTGTAAAGCCATAGAACTTTAATTCTATTTTATATAGATATGTAGGTAAGAGCAATGCCTTATATTTGCTTAAACTCTCAGAGTTTCCAAAGCCCTTAGTATACTTTATTTCTCTGAATCCTCACAAAAACGCTATGAGAATTGTCTGACAATTTCACACATGAAGAAAAGGCAGCTTAGAAGTGGAGCCTCTTGCTCATGGAAATCTGGTAGGAAATGGCTGAGGTTTAGCCCAGGACCTGGGAGTCCTACCTGTGGGCACTCAGCTAGCCCCACCAACGCCTCTCCAATTATAAGCAGAATACATGTGACTTTGTTGGGGAAATTCATCTGATTTTCATAAGACCCCAACAACAGTGAATATACCCTGGTACCCCATTTCTCCCATTCTTCCCCTCCAAACCACCTTCCTATGTCTGTAGCAGGCCCATCTTCCTAGGCTTGGGTTTCAATTATACCACTGTCTTCTCCCAGCATCTTTGCTAGCAACTGAATGAAGTTCAAACTCCACAAACTGGCAGTCAAGTGCTCCGCCTAGGCCCACACCCATTGCTCCCAACCCCTTTCCCATTTCAGTATGTGATTTCTTGCTCTTTATACCCTAATTAAGCGACTAGTGTGCCACCATTTGGCACTGCAGCAGGGCACAAGCTAGGGAGATATGTGCCACAAAACTTAAGGGGATGTCAAGGAACTCAGAAACCAAGATAAATATTGTGAGGCAATATTTTAAAAATGCAAGAAGTGCATGACGAAAAATATCAAAATTTAAAATCAAGGCAGAGTGAGTATTATCTTCAGACTCCAAAATGCCTCTGCAGGGAACTGTTAACTGATCCTGCAGGGACTTCCCCCTTGGGTACTTTTATTAATGATGTTTCCTAAAAGTTAGTTCCCACGAGCCCTTTTCAAATCAGTAACTTCTATTCTTTTTTTTTTTTAATTTTTATTTATTTATGATAGTCACACAGAGAGAGAGAGAGAGAGAGAGGCAGAGACACAGGCAGAGGGAGAAGCAGGCTCCATGCACCGGGAGCCCGACGTGGGATTCGATCCCGGGTCTCCAGGATCGCGCCCTGGGCCAAAGGCAGGCGATAAACCGCTGCGCCACCCAGGGATCCCAGTAACTTCTATTCTTTAATGCCCCAGAACTTCTATTCTGTAGCCCTCTTCTGCCCGGAAAACCCATTTCCCTTAGAAACTGGTAGGCCTCTCATGGCCATCTGAATCCCATTGGATCTTTTCCAGTGCCTTCCTAGATCACAGTGGGCACTCAGCACCTCTTCGCTAAAAAAAAAAATAAATAAAATAAAATAAAATAAAATAAAATAATAAAATAAAATAAAAATGCAGAAATCACAATCTTCAAATTAGCTCTCTGTGGGGCTGAGCGGGAACGAACCCAGATACATTGCTTGGTCCAGTGTTGTTTAAAAATTGCACTTGTTATCCAGATGTAAAAATCAGATGTTTTCCATGAGGACAAATCGCACTCTGTCATTTCTTGAGAAATCAGAAAATCTAGCAAGGGCAGGCCCGAATTCTTCATGACAGCACTGGGCTCCAGAACAGAGTGTCTGAGCCTTTAGGACCCTCTCCACTGCTCTGCGTCCTAGCTGGGTCACTAATTTGCATTAGTCCCACCAGCCCTCTGAGTTTGCGCCCCTAGGCTTGAGTGCCCTGGGTAAAACCCACGCGCTGGATCCACTCGTTCTCTACCAGAAGAATAAATACTTCCTTGTCCGGCCGGAGAGTCTTGCAGACAGACTCACAGAAGCGGCTTACGGTTCCAGCCCACAAACTTCTCACAACCCGTGGAACTTGCATTGCCTCCGCACACCGTTCTGTTCGCGGCCCTTTGCTCCAGGGCCCCCTCCCTGGCAGGCCGGTCCCGCCCCCCCCCCCCCGGGCCCGCGTCCCGCGTCCCGCGGTGGGGAGCCCGGGGCGGGTCCCGGTCCCGGCCCCCGGCCCCCGGCCCCCCGCCGCGGCTCTCCGCCCGGGACCGGGGCGCTCGGGCTCGCCCAGGGCGGCACTGGGCATGCTCAGAGGCGGCCGCGGGGGCAGGTTCGCTTAGCAGGCGCTGGCACTCGGCGGCGGGCGGGCGGGCGGGCGCGCGGCTGCAGCTGGAGCTCGGGCGCCCGGAGTTGGAGTTGCCGGGAGTTTCCCCCCACCCCTCCCTCCGGGCGGGCGGCGGCGGGAGCCGGCGCGGGAGCCTCGAGCGGCAAGGAGCCAGCGCCCGGGCCGGCCGAGCCTCGTCCGGAGCCCGGAGCCCCGAGCCCCGCGCGGGGCAGCCCCCGGGGAGGAGCCTCGCCGGCTGGGACTCGTGCGGCGCGCTGGCACTGCCCCGGCACCCGCCGGGCTGCACGGTAGGGCCCGGGAGTGGGGCGCAGGGCGGGCGAGGCAGAGGCCAGGCCGGGGTGCGGGGGGGGGGGGATGCGGCTGCAGCAGCCGCGGCGGTCGGGGCGGTCGGGGCGGTCGGGGCGCCGGAGCTCGGTCCGATGCGGGCGCCCGGGGCAGAGACCCCGCTGCGGGGCCGGAGGAGGGAGCAGGCGCCCAGAGAGATGCTTTCAAATTGGCGGGCGGCTGGAGAGGGGGCTGCGCGCCCAGGCGCGGCTGCTTTGTGCGCGCCGAGAGGGGCTCGGTCCCTGGTTCTCCCCAAACCTGGAGCCCGGTGTGCGGGGAGGGTTGGGCCCGCCAGGAACCGAGCAGTTGTCCTCCGAGAAAGTTGAGGATGGAGCCCTCCTTCCGCCCCGTCCCCGCGGCAGGATGAGTCTCGAGGGGGCCGCCCCGAGGCCCCAGCGTGGAGGGGCCGAGGGGGTCGCTGCGCCCCTGGGCTGAGTTCCTCCGCCCCTGGATGAAATCCGCGAGTCACCCGAGCTGCGCATCCGTGGCGTCTTCTAGGAAAATCATTCCTGCCAAATCTGAGGCAGGCAGTCGGGGCGGCACGGCTCCCTACGTCCCGGGCGCGCAGCTGGGTCTGCCCCCTCCCAGCCTCCGACGTGCTCAAGGACGCCCGGGTCTCCGTGAGCGCCTGCAGCGCGGGGCAGCGCGGCGGGGCGGCGGGGGCACAATTTTTCCTCCAGCCTTTCCTCGGGTTTACAGCACCCCACCAACCCCACCCTGTTCATCTTTGCAGAAGGCAAGACTTGAAGGGAAGGGCCGGGAGCAGAGTTCCTGAGTTGACGTTCTGAGCCCCAGGACAGGCTGCCTGGGTTGTATCTGCCTTGTCTCCTGGCCCCAAGACTTCATAACGAATCCTTTTATGATTCTTGCTCGTGGACTGGGTGGGAAAGAATAGGGCAGGGGGTCCACCGGAATGTCCGCCTCATTCCACAGGCTCCTAACATCCCGTGGCAGGTCACCCCAGGACCCTGGAACCGGCATTGTGCAGATCGCCAGGGTGTGGAGGATGCTGCCGCTTTCCCCAGGCTCCACTTTTTTCACTTGTTTTGAGTTTTGGGGTTTTGCCTGCACACGAGTCGGAGCTGCGCTGTCATAACCCGGGGAGGGGGGGGTGGTTCTAGAGTGGGGGAGCTTCATCCAGGCAATGAGTGGCTGTTTGCCTCAGAGGCTGCTAGTGGGAATTGGTCCAGAAATGATTATGCAGGCTAGAAACATGTCTCTCTCTCTCTCTCTCTCTCTCTCTCTCTCTCTCTCTCTCTCTCTCTTGGCTGAACACCTTGGCTGTTGGGTTTGTGTGTTAAGTTCTTAAAGGGGCACCCACACACCGAGGGACTGCCATGCTTTAGGGGCTCACCATTTCTGATGCATGTTTTTCTTACTGCTTTTTCCTTGGGGTTAATCTGCTTTGGGGCAGGCTTCCAGCTGTAGGAATCACATGGTGTGGGCACACACGTTCTAGAATCAGACCTGAGGTCAAGTTTTAGCTTTACAGCTAAGGCTGTCCTAATAGACAAGTAGCCACTCTGAACTTCAGTTTCCTCATCTATCAAATGGGGATACTAGGGGCCTTATCTCCCTTCATTGCAGGATTGTTATGAGACTTTTGCGAGATAATAGAAACGAAAGTTCTAAGAACACTTGAAAGCACCATTCCGGTCTTATTATTGACTCTGCTCTTTACTCAATTTTTTTGAATTAACGAATTCTTTTAATTACAAGACACTTAAGTCATCTCCTTTCTACCCCCTCCTCACGAAGAGGCTTAGTTGCTCATGTCTTCGCAAATAGCTATGTATCTGGTTTTTTTCTTTTCATAAAATTCATCTCTCTTGATTTTAAAGGCTGAGGCTCTAGTCTTCCTATTTATCTGAGGGAAGAAGCATGGGGTAGATTAGGAGATCTCCAGGGTTGCCTGCTCAATGTTCAGACTCCCGGGTTCCAGAATTGGCATGTCAGCAAGACCCTTGTGAAGACAACTCAGGTTGAAGAGTCAGTCAGCAGACCCTGGGCTGGAGCTCTGACTTGACCTCTAACAGTGACCTTGAATTAAGAACTCAACCCCTCATCAGTGTGAGATTAAGAGCCAGTGGTCACCAGAGACAAGAACACGTGGGATTTCCTCTCACTCAGTTAATAAGGGTATAATCAGGCTCCTGAGCCTCCCAGGTGCTGCATCTTCTCCGATCCTAGGGCAACAGTTCTCAAGCATGAGCATCGGAGTCAATCAGAAGGCTCCTTAAAACCAAAGGTTCCTGGGCTGCACTGCCAGAGTCTGTGATTCTCTAGGTCTAGGGTGGAGGGAAGGGGGCCCAAGAATTTGTATCTCTAACTAGTTCCAGGTGATTCCAATGCTGCTTCTCCAGGGGCCATGCCTATTGAATCACTGACTTGGCCGGGGGGACATGAGAAAGTGAGGTGAATTATGTTCTGAAATGCAACTATTTTAATACTTCATATTCAGAGATAGGGTGTTTTAGAAACGTACCTAAAACATTTTATATTTCCAATACCTGTGTCACTTAGCATTGTCCAGTTTTAACAATTCCAATTGCTCTTCAAATGAATGAATTTTACACACACACCAGAGGTAGGATGTTCCCTTCTTTTCACACTGTAAAACACTCAGTCTCTGGTTTCTAGGTGACCCTGGTATTGATAAATCCAACAACTACCCCATGCCTTTCTTTGGGGATCTCAGACATTTGTGGAGAGGGAGATACATAAAGTTATAGCAGCTTGAACCTTAAGATTAGAGTGCAGGTTGAATAGCTATAAGGAAGTGTTAGAAAACAAAAACAACTGGCAATGTGGTGCCTTCTCTGGATGGACAGCTTCGCTAGACCTGGGTGAGGGAGGGGAGGGGAAGTTGACTCTGTGACAGATGTTCTGTGGTGGTCAGACCTGGCCAAGGCCCTCCCTTCCTCTGTCGAACAGGGTGGTGTGGGTAGTGACTGAGCTCCCCTCTCACTCTGAGGGGGAGGAAGGCTGACTTTCTGTGGCGGCCGTGCAGTATCGGTGCCTCTCTGTATCATTTCGCTGATCATCAAGCACCATTTTGGCACAACCCAATCTTAAAGCTCTTCTTGTCCCATGGTCGAGGGTCTGGGCTGAGAGCTCACCCTGAGCAGCTGTGGTCTTGAACTTAAGCCAAGCCACAGAGAGGCCTTGGGAGAGAGCCTGCTTGAGTCGGGAGGGCTCCTGAGATGACACCCTAAAGAAAGAATGAGGCTTATGTAGCACCCAAATGGCTAGGTGTGAAAGGAGGTCAGCATTTTCATAAGTTCTTGTGTTGCCTTGCCAAATGGACTCCCGGCTGACCACATGCTTTATCTCAGTTTTCCATTTGTGCTTTGTTTTAGTTTTAAAATGATTAGCACTAGAGAGACCTATCAGTAAGATCAGAAACCTATTCAAAAACTCAAGTGTACCATTTAGTGTTTTAGTAGATAAAACTGCAAGGCCCAGGCCTGTCTTCCTGATGGCAATCAGCATACAGTGAAGAAACAACCTTCCGGTTGTAATTCTTAAGATTCACTAGCTAATTTAAATGGTTTCTCCTACTTAACATGAGCAGGGAACGTTTCTATTTTAAACTTCTTTCCCATAACTTGATGTTTATATTTTGGGTGTTACCCCTACTTTTCACTGCTAGGATTTTTTTTTCCAGTGTGGGGGAGGCTTCTTTCCTTTTCACTGCTGTTAGCTTTCTTAGCACGTGACCACTTGGTATCTTCGCTCCCTTGGATAAGTCTGTTGTGAGACAGTCGTCATGATACCTCATTTCTCTTTGGTCCTCGGACTGTCCTGGGTCATACAGAGTCACAGTCATTCCTGGAACAGTTTTTCACCACTTTCCTCGAGCGTGCTTGAACTAAAACTCAGGTTGTATGGCCCTAGCTCAGTTCTAAGGTACATTTTCTTTGCCCATATTTCAACATTTTCCAATTTCAGGAATCTGGTTGGGTCTTCAAAATCATGAACACCCATAATGTATGTGTTTTTCTTTCTCTGTAAACTGGCATGGAAATAGAGTGATTTCCAATTGACAGCATTCTAAAACAGAGCAAATTTGGTTCCTTACCCCAGTAGAAAATATAGTTTCTACTCCATGCTGATAGAATTAAGCAGCAATTGAATTAGCTCAGCGGGTTCCAGAGTATGTCAGAAGAATCCTATTGGGGTCGCTGTTATTAGGTGTGCTCTTGAAAAGGGCAGATCAATTTGGAAGCGCTGCCTTTTATTTTTCCCTCTTAGAGATTCTCAACATGTGCATCATTGTATCAAAGTCTCTAAGAAGTACTAGAGTTTACCGTCTCAGCAACAAAATCTTGATTGTACTCAATTAAACGTTTCCCAGCATGCAACATTTTTGAGGTTATGTGTGGGTCTCCTAATACTCCATTACCAAATTAGTACATCTCAACAATTCTAATATGATATTTAACATCATCTGTGGGTGGGCTGGTTTCACCTAGTATATCCCTATAATATAGGAGTATTCATTAAATATGAATACCAATTGATTAATGGAGTCTCTAGGTGATTACTATCTTTTATTTCAGGGTGGAGAGAAACCATTTCAAGCTGTGGCAGCTAAGAAAATCTCCATGGAGGGGATAAACTGTAAAAGTGTAAATGATGGGTGGTTGTACTTTTGTAGGGAAGAGAAGGGGCATTTTAGGTTGGTGGCATAATGGAGCCAGAAGTATGAAGGCTTGTACTCATGCCTGCATGTAAATAATTTTTAGAGCACACGAGAAAAGGATCCTGTCTAGTACAGAGTGAGACTGAGTGAATCTGGTGGTGGTGGTCAAAGAACCTGTTGTTCTTTCTTGATTCTGTGAATTCACTAAAGTAGCCATGAGTTCTGGTGACCACAGAAGAGCTACCTGTGGAGAAATGAGGAGAGGCACAACACTTAGGTTTTAGAAACAGGGAAGGGTACATGGGGCAGAGAGGGAAT